GGTTTCTGAGTAAGTGACCTTTGGTTAAGTGAAGTGAATAATACTTAAGAATATCCTGCATAAAATGTTAACATTTAGAGAATGGAGTAAAGGGTATATTGGATTCTTTTCATATTCATTTTTTTTTTAGATTTTTTTATTGGGGGATGGGAACAGCGCTGGGGAATTGGGGGAAGGGGAACACACAAGTTGCTGTCCTTTTGTTCTTCAGTCTAGTTGTGGAGGACGTTGCTTCACTGGCCCAAGTTGGCACCATCACTGCGCTCTTCCGGGTGAGGCAGATCAGTCGCAGGCTTCTGGCCGGCGCTCACAGCGGCTGCCTTCCACTCACACTGGCTGCTGACAACCCACCTTCTGTCACAGGTGACCCACGGCAGCCCCGCTCCAGGTTGAGCTGTTGTTGTTCAGCATCTTAGCTGTGGAGGGCCACACTCTGACCCTCGTATGTGGGATCCGAACCGGGGCCCTCTGGTGTCCCAAGCTAGCTCTCAACCATAGCGCCACTCGTCCGGCCCTCTTTATATTCCTGAAGTTGTTTTTCCAAGTCTAAATTGTGTGAAAATAACTTAAAGATAAAAATTCCACTTAAATGAGGTGTATTAGGTACCTTTTCTTACTTGCGGGTAATGCTAGTCTTATTGATGAGCTTTCAAATTATGTTGGTTTTGCAGTGTAACCTCATAGAGTGCTTCATGAGTCCTTAGTTTATAGTCATGTGCCACTAAACAACAGGTATATGTTCTGAGAAATGCAGTGTTAGGGAATTTCATTGTGTGAACATCATAGTGTATACTCACACAAACCTGAATGGTATAGCCTGGTACACATCTAGGCTGTATAGTATATCACCATTGTGTAGGTGGTCCATGCTTGACTGAACCGTGATTGTAATTCGTAGCATGACTGTAATTTTTAGCTCTGGTATTAGCAGAGCTATGTCCTAATAGTGTCATCTGATAGGCAAATTTCTTGGAGTTATAAATTTTTCCTTTCCCCTGATAATCATACTCATTTAGGCAGTAAATCTTAAATTTAGTACTTCCTTAATGTTTCTTGAATCTATTCCTCTTGAGAATGTTTTAATTCAAACCTTAGTATCTCTTTCCTGGATTATTGCAGTCGTTCTCTAACTGGTCTCCTTATTTTATATTGTATGGCACAGAATTCCTTGGTGACTGAGTCTCTCTTCTTATCTGCCTGTTTCTAATATGTGAGTAAATTGTTTATGGTACCACTCATACACTTACGCCATACTGTTTCATGACTTTGTTTGTGATCTTCCCTCTGCATGGATCAGCTAATTTTCTTTCTGTGAGACTGAGTCCTAGCATCTTTTCCAGTAAACCTTCCTGAGAGCATCTAACTTCATAATTTTGCATATAGATATCCAGTTGTCCCAGCACTATTTGTTTAAGAGAGTGTTCTTTCCCCACTAAGTTGTTTTCGTACCCTTGTTGAAAAATCAATTGCCCATAAATATGGGGGTTTATTTCTGGATTCTCTATTTTTATTCCATTTATGTATACATCTATTCTTATGCTAGTACCACACTGTCTTAATATTGTAACGTTGTGGTAGGTTTTTAAATTGGGAAGTGTGAGCCCTCCAACTTCATTCTTTTTCAAGATTGTTTTGGGTTTGGCTATTCTGGGTTCTTTGAAGTTTTATATGAGTTTTAGGATCAGCTTGATAATTTCTGCAAAGAAACTAGCTGTGATGTAGATAGGAATTGTGTCGAATGTGTTGGACAATCTGGGGTATTTCTCCTCATTTTGTTGTTTTAGTTAAGGGTTATTTTTCTTCAGTTTTTCAAATTTGATATTTGTGTGTATTTTTTTTGACATGACAAATGGTGCCTTCTAAGGCACATAATAACAGGTTTACAGGCTTAGCTTTGTGATGTATATTTGTGGTGAGAAGAGAAGAATTTTCTTACTGGTATGACAATTCATTTGAAAAACGTTTTCCCTATATATTCCACATGTTCTTTGTGGAAAGTTTTAGAACATGCAGAAAAGCAGAAAGAGAGAAAAAGTCCATAATTACACCATTCAGAATTAATATCGTGTTTGTATGTATGTAAGCTTGTTTTAATATTTATTTTAACTATATAATACTTCTATATAGGGAATATCTTTTCATCTCACTAAAAAGTAGTGTTTTTTAAAATGCTGTATCCTACCTCGTTTTGAGATATTTAATTCCCTATTAGGCTTATGTTTAGTTACCGTTTTTCTAAATTATAGGTGCTATATGAATGTCTTTATAATCTTTGCACAGATTCTTGACTGTTTTCTATGACAAGTTCTGATAAGTGGAATTTCTGGTTCAAGAGGATGCATATTTTTAAAGTCTTGCAGTTTTTTTCTTGTAGTATTATAGTGTGTTAATGACAGTTTCTGCTAAAATCTGAAGGCAAGCTCATAAAGAATATGTGTTACTCAAAATTGCTATTGGATGTTTATAGCAGCATTATTCACAATTGTCAAAAAGTAGAGACAACCCAGTCCATTCACCAGATGAGTGGATAAACAAAATGTGGTATATACATAAAATAGAATATTGTTCAACCTTAAAAAGGAATGAAATTCTCATACATGGTATAAATACATCAATGAACCTTGAAAACATGTCAAGTGAAATAAGCCAGACACAAAGGGGCAAATGTTGTATGATTCCACTTATATAAATTACCTAGAATAAGCAAATTCATAGGGACATAAAATAGAATAGAGATTACTAGGGGCTGAGGAGATTGAGAGTTATTGTTTAATGGATACAGAATTTCCGTTTGGGATGATGAAAAGTTCTGGAAATGGATTGTGGTGATTGAACAACGTTGTAAATGTACTTAATGCCACTGAATTGTACACTTAAAAATGGTTAAAATAGTAAATTTGATATTATGTATATTTTACCACACACAGAAAAAAACTACTACTGTTTTAATTCCAGAGTTTTAGACAAAAACCACCTACTGAGAAATTATGTGCTTGTTTTAGTTGTGTGTTGCCTTGTAGCTAAGTGAACTCAGGGTTTTGCTACTTGTTTTAAATATGATGGATTGATAGATGAGGCTGAGAACTAGATTCCTAACCAACATTCAGGCAATATGAAGACTTACTGAGCTATATGCCAAGTAGCCTGCTAGGCACTCAGGACTAAAGTGGTAAACAAGGTAAGACATAGTCCCTGGAGTCTGCTGGTTGCTAAGATTGGACACAAAAAAGAACAAACTTCTTATTAAGAAAAAATGGATTAAACAATCAGGTGATTTGTTTGCTCCTTAATGATTTCCTTTGTGGGGTGATTTTAACATATCTTTTTTTCCCCTTTAGGTTACTATGGAAACATGACCCCATAAAAGGAAGTCCATTCTGATACCTGAGATGTAACTGGACTGAAGAGTAGAACAGGAAAAAATTCAGTGCCAACCTTTAATTACAATGGCTACTGATTCAGGGGAGCCAACTAGCACAGAGGATTCTGAGAAACCTGATGGAGTTTCACTGGGAAACAGAGTTTATCAAGTGGCAGCAACTTTGACATTGGAAGCTAGACGGAAGAAAAAAGACAGTACTTTCTCTGCTTCTGGAGAAACTACAGAAAGGAAGAGATTCTTTCGAAAGAGTGTTGAGATGACAGAAGACAAAGTTGTTGCATCTTCCTCCAAAGATGAGAGAATAAAGACTGCAACAAATATTCCAAGAGGAGAAAAACACCCTACAAATGTTCTGAGAGGTGGACAAGAAGTTAAATATGCACAATGTTCAAAGACAACTTCCGAATCCTCAAAAGATTTTTTCAAGGAGAAAAATGAAAAGGAAATGGAAGAAGAAGCAGAAATGAAGGCTGTAGCTACTTCTCCTAGTGGCAGGTTCCTGAAATTTGACATAGAGCTGGGAAGAGGAGCATTTAAAACAGTATATAAAGGACTGGACACTGAAACATGGGTTGAAGTTGCTTGGTGCGAGCTGCAGGTGGGTATATAATCTTTTTGGCTTTAATAAATTTCAGTTTTAGCTGACCTAGCCTTCTGAGTCATCTAGGATTAAAATGTATAACGGATTAAAATAAAATGAAGGGCTTGACCCCCCCACCCCCGTAATTACGTTTCTTTCCTAGATCCTCAGGAGCTCATGCCAACCTTTTTTTCTTGTGTTAGTTCCCCCCTCAGGTTTGAGGGGGGAAAACTATTGTGGCTTCCCTTGGGAAAAAGCTCTTAATTTATTAATGTTGGGAAATTCCTGAAACTCTTACTGTCTCATTTTGAAAACTTTTACTAAATTTATGACTTATGAGTTGATTGTTATAATAAGTACTTGAGAGTGTGATATGTTAGGGAAATATTGTGTGATATCTCCCTTTTCTCTTTTTCTTTCAAAAGATTTTTGGTGGTTCATACAGTGTTTTTTAGAACAGGAAATGCTTTTCTTTTCTTTCTTTCTTTTTTTTTTTTAAAGATTTTTATTGGGGAGTTGGGGGGATGGGAACAGCACTGGGGAATTGGGGGAAGGGGAACAGACAAGTTGCTGTGCTTTTGTTCTTCAGTCTAGTTGTGGAGGACGTTGCTTCACTGGCCCAAGTTGGCACCATCATTGCGCTCTTCCCGGGTGAGGCAGATCAGTCGCCGGCTTCTGGACGGCCGCTCATTGTGGCTGCTGGCCGCTCACGCTGGCTGCTGGCTACACATGGTAGCCCATGGCAACCCACTGCCACAGGGGCTGCAGCCTATGCCATCGCCGGCAACTCCCGGCAGCCCAGCTCCAGGTTGAGCTGTTGTTCAGCGTCTTAGCTGTAGAGGGCAGTGTCACTGGCCCTCATATGTGGGATCTGAACTGGGTCCCTCTGGCGTCCCAAACCAGTTCTTAACCATCGCGCCACTCGGCCAGCCCCCAGGAAATGCTTTTCTTGATTTGAGTACTTATATTAATATAAACTCTCCTGTGCCTTTGAGTTTACCTCAAAGAGGATCTGTGGAAAAAATCAGAATCTACTGAGGTTAGTCAACTGGAATGTGGTTAAAAAGGAGAAATGAAAGCCACAGGACAGTAGTTGAATCACCTAGATATTTGTTTCCATAATAGATGTTTATGTGGACTTTTAACTAACGAATGGTTAAATGGGATAGAATGCCACAGAAGGAGTTAGAATAGTTTCAGACAGATATAGGACAAATATAAGGAAATCCTTTGTGACATCAATCAGCTCATTGTTCACATGAGATGCTAAAATTAGCATTGAATAAAGCCAATAGTGAATAGGTTTTTGTTGTTCAAATTCCATTGGTCTCTGTGTGTGTAGGTGTGTATGTTTGTATTGTGATTCCACCCATTCTGAATATGGTATAGGTGCCATTTAGATAGGTTGAAATTTAGTCTAAGTCCCTGCATTTCTTGGAAGCCTTTTGTTTAACATTATGGCCTCCAAACTTAACTATCTGTAAAAAGTCAGCGTGTGTTTCTTATGCAGATTCTGGAGCTTATTGTCAGCGATTCAGATTCTGTAAAGCTGGGTGGGATGCAAACTGCAATTTTAACATGTTTTCAAAGTGGAGGAAGTCCCTTAATGACTCTTTGGAATGCAAGTTACTTAGCATTCAAGCCCTTCAAGTACTTGAAAGGTGTAAGCAGATGTGGGGGTTTCGCTTGATTTTCTTTTCACCCTCTTTTTCCTCTTTAAGAATTTTATAAGATCTGTGTCACAGTAGAAATATTAGATAATGCAAGCAAATAAACATCAACACCGCCTGAAATTCCACTACTTTGAGGATGCCTTAAACAATTTAGTTATGTGTCTTTCTGGACTCTTTCTTTTGCACAAATGTATATATGACTGCATGTTTTCTCCCCCACAAAATAGAATCGTACTATAAGGTTTTACAAACTTTGCTTTAACTTGCCACAAACATCTTTACGTTACCAATAATTGTACATTTACATCATTCTTTTAATAGATGTCCTTATAAGTTAATTAGTCCTTTATTATTGGACATTTAGATTTTTCTCCAATATTTCACTGTTATAACCATGGTTGTGGTCAGCATCCTTGTATATATACTGAAAATTATGTAAATTTTAATTTCATCTCTGTGTTCTGACATGGTTGACACTCATCTTTAAGTGATACTCTGAATGGGGGAAGTAATTTCCCTTGTCTTGGTAGTAGTAGCCTCCATAGTAAAGATGTGTCAAGTATTTTGCAAATTGTGTACTCTAGCTGCTCTAAGGATGTTTAGGTAAAATTTGAAAGTACTCTAGTGATAGCAGCTGCCTTCTATCATTCACCTGTGGAAAGATTGACAGATCACATAAGGTCTTACTATGCAAAGTGTGGTCCCTGGACCAGCAGCATGGACATCACCTGGGAGCTTATTGGAACTGCATGTTTTTAGGCTTTCTTCCAGACCTACTGAATCAGAATGCCTTTTAGTAACATCTGCAGGTGATCTATATATACAGCAGAGTTTGAAAAGCACTGAAATAAGGGACCCGTTCCAAGAACTAGCTGAAATCAGAGAAGGAATTCCCTTAATACACTAACATGAGCTTCATATTATATCACATATACTGTTTCCTGGCATTCACTCTAGACTTTCGAAATCAAAATCTCCAGGAGATGGGGGCCCAGGAACTTATTTCTAAAATGTTCCCCAGGTAATTGTATACATAGCTGGAATTTGAACTCGCATGTGGAGCAAATGTTGTAAATTACATAAAGTATATTTTAATCTACACAGAGAACAACAATTGCAATTTTCTATTCTGAAAGGAATGTCAGAATTAGTGAAATTAGTTGATATAATTTCATTTTCTGCATATTTAAAATTAAGCAAAACTAACTTATTTAGAATCCCAGAAGGATAAGGGCATCATCTTTTAGTTAACTTCCTGTGAGTACTATGCTGTTTGTAATGGATAATTTATCACATTTTTTCCCATAAATTATTACTTCTTTGCTATATAATTAAACACTTTTGTAGAAAAGCATTCCAGTGAGCAGTTTAAATGTTTAAATTATTCTAGATTCTTTTCCAATCTTTGTTTATATATGTGTAATATATGTAAATTGCTAGCAATACTTTTGTTATCAATTTGATATGTATTTTTGATTTATTAACATTATTAAAATATGTAAACGATATTACATTCACACCACCTCTTGCTTAGTCTTCTCTGAAATTAGGCAGTTCTTTTCTTTCTAAAAATTTTATTGTTTGCATGTTGGAGTTGAAATTCACAGCTCAGCAAAAAGTTTTTATACCTTTTTCTCTTGGTGGCATTTACCCCCCATTGAGGATATTTGAGCTTTGTGTAACAATCCTGGAAAAGAATATATCCATTTGTTTAGAATACATTGACCTCATGACTGTGCAGTGAACCATGAAAGATTTTACAGCTGATTTTTGACTTTGAGGATGTTAAAAAACAAACAAACAAACAAACCCTTTGATGATATAGGTCAGATTTAGAATTTGGCCATAATGCATTTCAACAGTTTGTTATATTTTATGGTTTCCATAACTTGATTTTTTAATGCATTGGTAGAAAGACTTTCTTATTGTTCTTTATAAAGAACTTGGTAAATTCCTTGGTAATTATTGGTAAATTGGTAATTTACTGTGAGTGAGGGCTGTAAGTCATAATTTCTATTTAGAAGACTGTTTATTTTAGTTCATAATGTTGAAAGACCTAGTCCGATGTTACCTAAAGGTCTGTTTAGTAACTCTTAGAAAGAGTCAATCATAAGAGTTTGCAATAGGTTCCTCCTCCACTAACAACTTCAGAATCAGCAGCACTCAGCTTTTACACATGGAAACATAACCAATTTTTCTTTGTTATAACTTGGAAAAATACTTCCATTGGTACATTTGTCATTTGTTTTCTTGATGGAACTGAGTTTTCATATAATGGGGCTATTTTCCCAACGAAGGAACATCATAGATATCTGAAAATTTTTGTTATTTGACTGTGTCTAAAATGTATTTGAGTGTGCTTGTAATAAGTTTCACTGTGGATCAGATATGTGATTGTTTGCTTCTCAGGGTAATTAAACAGGCTGCCTTTAAGTAGCATCTAACAACTAGACATCTAAGAAATCTAGCCATAGTCTCTGAAGTGAAGTGAAAGGTCACGGAAAAGATTAAAAAAAGACAAAATTGTAGCAGGTTGACATATTGAGTGAGTGAGCATTCTAATACACTTTCATTATAGTAGTGAATATATTCAAAGCAGTGCAATGGAAGTGTAAGAGCTTACAAATCCATACTTCTACACCTAAAGCTTCTATTAAAATTGTGGAGAAACTTGTTTCCATTTTATTTTCATTTATCATCTAAAAATACTTTGGGGGAGAAGTATATTTTTAGACATCAGCCCTACATTTAATTGTGAAATTAGAATTAGGTAATAATGTGAAAACAGCTGAGTTTCCAATGAAGGAAAAAGTAATATAAAAATATATGCTAGAATTTCTGTTTCTGAATAAATATTGTTGTCCAAAGTATTCACTCTGGGATACTTTGCTCTAAAAATATTTTTGTTATGACCCTCTTGGAAATGTTTCCAGATTCTGTTTGAGCCACACAAGAAAATTCTTCATTACATATAGGCACACACCAAGTAGTGTTCAGTTTGATTTCCCACTGTCTTCATCAGACCCAGCCCTCAAAGTGGAACACTTTCATGGGCAAAGAATAATTACATTGAAGGGAGGTGGGATAAAGTTTGTTTAAATATGTATGTTCTACTAGTCAAATGACTTTATTAAGTATAAAGTCAAGTGCTTTAATAAAATGACAAAGGGTGAGTGGCAGCAGACAGATTTGGTCTGAGAAATACTCATTTTTCTAATTACTTTGATGAGTTAGTTCTGAGCTAATTATCTGCTTGATAGATAACAAATTGATTCGTATAGTAGGCTGAATAATTGCACCAGAAAGATGTCCGTGTACTAATCCCTGGAACCTATGAATACAGAACTTTACATTGCAAAAAGGACTTTGTAGATGTGATTAAAGATTTTGTGATTGGTAGATTATCCTTGATTATCTAGGTGGGCCCATTGTAATTACAAGGGTCCTTATGAGAGAAAGGAAGGATAGCCATAGTCCAGAGGAGAGCTGGTGATGGAAACGGGTTGGAGTGATGCAATTGCTGGAAGTGGGCAGTGAGCCAAGGAATGTGGGCAACCTCTGAAAGCTAGAAAAGGCAAGAAAACAGATTCTTACCTACAGCATCCAGTAGGAACACAGCCTTGCCAACACCTTGATTTTAGTCTAGTGAGACTCAGTTTGGATTTCTGATCTCCACACTGGGAGGTAATAAATTTGTATTGTTTTAAGCCACCGAATTTGTGGTGATTTGTTACAACAGCAATAGAAAATGAATATAATATTACATTGCTGCCATTCACTCATTTATTCATTTTTCATTTATTCAACAAATAAATATTTAGTATTTATAATATGGCAGAACTGTGCTAAATGCTAGGGACATAACGGAGAAAAAGCAGATACAAGCTCTTTTTTTTTTTTTTTTTTTTTTTTAGCTGAGCCATCCTGCCACCTGTTGGCAGCTCAGCAGCAGCTCAGCTTGGGCCAGGCATCAAACCACTGTTGCTCAGAGCTCACACTCTTGAGCAAGCTCTTAACCAGCTGAGCCACTCGGCTGACCCCAAGCTCCATTTTCATAAAGCATAACTAGAGGGAGTTCATAGTAAAAAGAAGGTTTGGTGATTGGAATTAGTGAAAACTGATGAAAGGGCTGTTAAATATAGGTTTGTTTGGAGGAAATTGTGGGGTTGGGAGTCGCAGGCATCAGGGATACCACTCCTTTTACTACTTAGTTTTCTCATTTTAAATTTTTATTCTGAGATAATTTGCTACTAACAGAAGAATTGCAAAGATAGTATAGAAAGTTCCTATATGCCCTTCACTTAGTTTTCCCTTCTGTTAATATCTTAACCAGAGACCATTTATCAAAACTTAAGAAATTATCATTTGTACAATACTATTAACTAAAGTACAGAACTTACTTGGATTTCACCAGTTTTTCCACTGATGTCCTTTTTCAATGCTGTGATCCAATCCAGGATCCCACATTGCATTTAGTTATTATGCCCCCTCAGTCTCTTTCCATCTGTGATAGTTCTTTAGTCTTTCCTTGTTTTTCATGATCTTGAACTTTTGAAGAGTACTGCTCAGTTATTTTGTAGAACGTCTCTTAATTTGGGTTTGCCTTATGGTTTCTCATTAAATTTAGGCTGTGAATTTTGGCAGAAATACCACATGAAAGATGCACCCGTCTCAGTGCATCATAGCACGGGGTTACATGATGTTGATAAGGATTACTGGTGATGATAACCTTGATCACTTGGTGAGGGTGGTGTCTGATAGGTTTTCCATACTGTAAAGTTAATATTTTCCCTTTGTAGGTTACATCTTGAGAGTAAATACTTTGAGACTATGCAAATATCTGTTTCTCCTCAAACTTGCCCCTGTTGTTTTGGCATCCATTGGTGTATCTTGCCTGCAATAAAAATACTGTGGTATTATAATGGTGATTTTTTTTTTACTTTGAAGTTTAACTGTCAAAATAAAGTCTTAAAATAATCCTTTCACAAAAATAAGGGAGCGTTATGTTGTAAAAACATTAGTTCTTTGCTAAAGATTATGTTCTTCCATCCTCATCTGCTGTCACCAGCTGTGAGCATCTTTAAAGATCAGTTTTTTCTTCACAGCAACACCTACCGGCGGCTCTTTGGCTATCCAGGTATGGCTTACAGCCTAAATGTATAACGGTCAAACAAGAGCTCCACTGTTGTTTCACATGCCTGAACATGCTGCGCTAGTCCCAGTGTTTTCTGCACGTCTCAGCAGATCTTGGAGATGCAATACTGGAACTCCTCATTGCAGTCATTCTTGCTTTTGCCACAGGTCTCATAGCACTTGCGGTGGTTGTTGCACTTTGTCAGGGAAGGGATGCCAATATTAAGGTGAACACCAAATAATGGAGAGCCACGTCCCTTCAGCAGGGAGGGTTTATAACCATAACGTGGGAAAGGCTTAGATCCGTCACCACTCGTATACTGGCAGAGCCTGTCCTCGCCTCCTAGGATGTTCAAGGTGGCGTTCAGGTGCTTGTCGATTTTGTGAACGCCATTCCAGATGGTCTTCAGGGTGGCCCTCCAGTCGGTGGGTTGGGCCTGCTCCTGACACCTGATCGCAGCGATCAGGAGGAGGAGAGAGCGAGTACAGGCCACAGGAGCATCTGCCCAGTGCTGGGCAGCCCTGGGTCCCACCGGTCATGGGAGCCATGACAGATGCCCCGGGGCTATCTTGGCAGCAACATGGGTCCTGTGCCTGACTGTCGCGGTGGGCTCCGTGCTCATGTCTCCTTCCTGGCTGGCAGGCCAATGGTGATTTTTCTATTAATCAAAATTCTTTCTACATCTATTAATTGGAATTACCTCTTGGTTTTATTTGGTCTCATAAATATGACTGTTGAGTTTCCGGAAACCCCAAAATTGAGGAATTTGTTGAGGAACTTTAGTATATCTTGTTATTAATAATAGTATCATACACTTTCCATTATCAAAATTAATATTAATTGAGCACTTATACAGGTACTTAATTTGAATAGTTACATGAGGTAGGAATGATTAGTTTTTAGGTTTAGAAAGTGATGTGTAGATATATTAAGTAACTTGCCCAAGAGGGCAGAGCAGGGATTTATATTCCATCAATTATATATATAAAACATTTGTATAGATGACTTAAGAATTTCCTCTTCATTAGTTATTTGAGCAGATCATTCTTTTATGTTTCAATCATTTTTGAACAAATTCTTTTTTTAGAAAAAAGATTTTATTGGGGAATTGGGGGGAGGGGCACAGTGTTGGGGAATTGGCGAAGGGGAACAGCCAAGTTGTTGTTCTTCAGTCTTAGTTGTGGAGGGTGCAGCTAGCTCAGCTCCAAGCCCAGTCGCCATCCGGCTACCCGTCGGCAGCTTGCAGGAGCTCAGCTCAAGGTGCCGTGTTCAATCTTAGTTCTGTGTTTGCAGGGGTGGGCACAGCCCCCCATCCCATGAGGGAGTCGAACTGGTAACCTTGTTGTTAGGAGCATGTGCTCTCACCAGCTGAGCCATCCTGCCTCCTGTTGGCAGCTCAGCGGCAGCTCAGCTCGGGCACAGCTCACTGGCCCATGTGGGAATTGAACTGGTGACCTAGTTGCTCAGAGCTCACGCTCTTACCCAACTGAGCCACATGGCCAGCCCCAAATGATTTCTTACATTGACCTTATTTAAAATAAAGTTCTTAACATTAAACTGCTGAAGGTCAAGGGGTACTAATTAATGGTGTCACTTAAGGATACTTCCTGGCTTGAGGAACAATTTCATGGTTGGGTTGCCCTGGTTCAAAATCTGGCCTTAACCTTTTATCAATGTCTAGAGGTGGTTGGACACACTGGTGATTTGTGCTAACTTAAAAAGCCCTAAATCTAGGACACAAATTTATTAATTTAATATGAGGAATATAGTTGTTAGTTCAAATGCTCTAATTGGTCTTCAGGCTAGATACAAGGTGTGATCACAAAATAAGGTGAATGTTTCAATTAAAAAATATTACAGTAAAAGACACATTGCCATTAATCCCCCTGAAAATACTACCCCTCTCTTCTAATACACTTATCCCATCGTTCTTGCCACTTTCTGAAGCAGTTTGGAAGTCCTCTTCTGTGACTGTCTTTACTTCATCTTCGATCATGACAACGCTCTGTGTCACACATCGTTTCTGGTACCTCAATTTTTGTCAAATGAAAGTATTAAGGTGTGTCCTCATCCACCAGATATGGCATCATGTGACTTCTGGCTCTTCTTCAAAGTCAAAATTATTCAGGATATTGAGGCAGCCATAACAGCATAGCTAGACACTCAGGAAAGAGGACTTCCAGAACTGCTAGAGAAAGTGGCAAGAACAAGGGGAGAAGTGTGTCCAAAGTGAGGGGGAGTATTTTGAGGGGAATTAAGGGCAATGTGTCTTTTACTGTAATAATTTTTTTTAAATTTAAACATTCACCTTATTGTTTGATCATACCTCATACATGGCAAGCTAAATTATAATCAGAAACTGGCTTGGTAAGTCCAGAGTCAGAACAAAGGAACTAGATGTTCCTCTGTGTCCTCCTGGTAAGACAATAGAGTGACTAAATGTTCTGGATGCTGAGGACCTGACTGGATGAGGATATCCTTTTTGTTCAACAGTACTGGAAAACAAGTGAACTTGGTTCTGTATTTCATTCCCCCTTCCGTGTGTTATCTTGACCACCGCTGATGATTATCCTTTTTTAGTATTAATATATTACTTTATAAAAGCTTTAACATGCTAATATGGCTAGTCTATGACTATTATATGCTTGTTTCTTGATTAATTCTTTGATGTTACTATTTGCAAATTGTCATTGCCCTAGTGTGTTATTTTTCATTGAGCTGTAGCTCTATGGTTGTACACTGTCTTTCCATGAGTGGCTTGTGAGTGAGGTAGCTGTCGTCATTTTTGTGAATAGTGTTTTTGAGTGGGTTCCGGTGTTGCCTGTGCCAGTCATTTACCTTGGACTAGCTAAGCTGCTTAACATTTTGAAGCCTTAGTTTTTTACTTGTTTTAAAAAAGAAAAATATAATAAATATTTCTGATATACAAAAAATAAAGAGCAACATAATGAGACTTGTGTTCCTACAGGTCAGCTTGAGAAATAAAATGTTGAGGATTAGAGCTAATGCTTATAAAACATGCGGTACATGTTTGAATGCTCATTAAATGCTAGTGACAAAATACTCAGCAACCTCATATTTATCCAGAACAGTCATTGATAGACTGCTTTGTAGGTTAAGCACCATTTTGAAGCCATAATAATGTTCATCCTTATTTGAACAAGTTATTTAATAATATAGCTTTTATAACATCGTTGATGGTTTCTTCCTTCTTTCATGTTTGCAGAAACAGATCCATATACCCTCTTACCTGGTTCTGTAGTTCATTGTTGGTGTTTGCATTAAGAGACATAGCTGATAAGGCCATAGTTTACCTTTTGGAAACAAAATGCTTCTTATCTTGAATAAATACATATGCAGGTTAGTCGTGGTGGTATTGTGCCTTGTCTCGGAAGATCTTGTGTACATTTTTAGCATGCCATATATTATAATAGATTAAGTGTTTAGTTAACATTCATAAAAGCTGTAATTCTTTTAAAAGTAGTGTGGAGTAGTTGAAATATGTTTGGTAAATTTGTATTTGACCTCTCATATTTATCAGCCATATAAATTAACATTTATAACACTGAAAAATTGATATGCGATGCTTTTTGGAGGGTGACCTTACCTAGAGAGAGTAAGATTTAGGGATCATTTTTGTAGACTACAATTTTCCTGGCTTCTGACTATGTCAGCTCCATTAGTCGTCCTTGCTCTCGTTTGCCATTTATGGTTCATCATTCCTTTCTTGTGTAAGAACTCCTCAGTGGCAATGTGTGAAAGTTACCTTATCAAAATATGGTCGTCATTAATACAGTAGTGTGCGAATGTGTCTGTCCATGTTTAAAGGAGAATTGCTATAGTAGCTGAAAGCTCTCCTCTGGATTTTTGTGCTACTTTGACAGGTTTACTTTCCACTCATTGAATTAGAAGTGGACCTTTGAAGACTTTGGCCATACCTTTTTAGTGGACTTTACCTCTAGCAGTACATCTGGGCAGCAGTTATAACTTTGTAAAGTTGTTTACTCCTAATGTTGACTACTTTTAATCCATAGGATCAAAGGATAAAGTGGAGTAGTTTAGTTTTGCAAATGAAAGACTTGTATTTACTAGTTTAATCAGAAGGCATCAAAGTTTATTCATTATGCTTTAGAGCAGATCTGCTGACCTATCACTAGCAGAAGACTTCTAGTTAATTATAGGGACATTTAGGACTTAATAGTCATCTTAGGTTGATAGAAAAGCATAAACACCTGTTTTTAGGTCTAAGTTTAGCATTCCTTGCTTTTGTTCTTTGAGTTCCTTAACTCTTTTTAAGCCTTTTTTTATTGAGTCAATGTATACAATTGACATGTAACACTGTATAAATTGAAGGTGTACAATGTGTTGATTTAAATCAGTTGTTGCAGTATGATTACCACCATAGTGTTAGCTAGCACCTCCATCATGTCACATAATTATCATTTCTTTTTTGTGCTGGGAACAGTTAAGATATAGTGTCTCAGCAGCTTTGAAGTTTATAATACACCATTGTTGACTATAATCACTATGTTGTGCATTAGATTTCCAGAACTTATTTATCTACTAGTTATAAGTTTGCACCTTTAAACATCTCCCAAATTCCCCTACCCTCCAGCCCCTGGTAACCAGTATTCTACTTCTCTGTTTTTACAATTTCAGGGGTTTTTTAAATTTTAGATTCCACATATAAATGATATCATACAGTATTTGTATCCCAAAGGGATATCTGCACATCTATGTTCATTGCAGCCTTATTCATAATAGCCAAGATATGGAAACAACCTAAGTGTCCATCAGCGAATTAATGGTTAAAGAAGGTGTGATACACAAACACATGAATATTATTCAGCTATGAGAAAGAAGGAAATCCTGCCATTTCTGAAAACATGGATAGACCTAGAAGGCATTATGCTAAATGAGATGTCAGACAGAAAGACAAATACTGTGTGAGTTCCTTAACACTTTTTTAAATCAACTTTTTATTGTGTCAAATGTACATAACATCAAATTTACCATTTTAACCATTTTAAGTATAGAATTCAGTGGCGTTAAGTGCATTCACGTTGTTGTACAACCATCACCACCCTCCATCTCTAGAACTTCTTTGTCATTCCAAACTGAAACTCTGTCCCCATTAAATAACACCACCACATTCCTCTGTCACGCCAGTCCCTGGTAATCACTATTCTACTTTCTGTCTTCATGAATTTACCTATTCTAGGTGCCTCGTATAAGTGGGATCATATAATATTTGTCATTTCGTGTCTGGGTTATTTCACTTAGCATAATATTTTCAGGATTCGTCCATGTTGTAGCATGTATTAGAATCTCATTCCTTTTTAAGGCTGAACAATATTCCATTGTATGTATAGACCACATTTGTTTTATCCATTCATCCACTGATGGATATTTGTGCTCCCCCCTTTTGACTATTGAATGCTGCTGTGAACATTGGTGCACAAATATCTCTTCAAGTTGCTGTTTTCAGTTCTTTTCATTATATACCTAGAAGTGGAATTACTGGATCATATGGTAACTCTATTTGCTTTTTTAAGAACAAGACAAAAAAACAAACTCATAGACACATACAATAGTTTAGTGGTTACCAGAGGGTAGGGGGCGAAAGGGGTGGTAGATGAGGGTAAATGGGATCAAATATATGGTGATGGAAGGAGAACTGACTCTGGGTGGTGAACACACAATGTGATATATAGATGATGTATTACAGAATTGTACACTTGAAACCTATGTAACTTTACTAACCATTGGCACCCCAATAAACTTTAATAAAAACAAAAACTATATTGCTTATGAATACAAGCATATAATTAAAAATACAGTAATACCTCGGTTTGTGAGCATAATTCGTTCCGGAAATAAACTACTCATATCTCAATACATCACTTGTTTACTGAGTTAAAATGTATTATTAGGTTGGTGCAAAAGTAATAGCGGTTTTTGCCATTACAAGTATTTATTTACAATCACTATTACTTTTGCACCAACCTAATAGAAATTTTTTCTCGTCTTGCGGAACACTCTCAAACCAAGTCACTCGCAATCCAAGGTTTTACTGTAGGTTTAAAACGTACACGAATTAAAAACCCAATTTAGATAGTGGTTACTTCTGGGATCTCATGTCGTGTAACGTGGGTTTGACTTGATAAATGCCTTTATTTTGTCATCATCAACCTCGGTGGGCATCCCTGACTAAGGAGTGTCATTGAGATCAAAATCACCAGCACGGAATTTTGTGAACCATCGCTGGCACTGACGTTCTTGTAGAGTATTGTCACCGTAAATTTTATGCATCTCTTCACAGGCTTGATGTGCATTTTTCTCTGTATGGAAGTAAAACAGTAAAATATGGCAAAAATGCACAGTTTGGTCTTCCATCTTCAACTTGTTGTAAAGTCTCCAAAACTCAATCAAATCGCTCAATTTTCTTTTAGAATGAAACTAGAACTGTCAGCTGTCAAATGACATAATAATATAGATGTGAATGACTCTAGTACTTCCAAAAATTAATCTGTTGCAAACATGCGTCATGACTTTTCCGATGACCCAATATATATTACAAAATGACCACCACAAAAAGTTAACATGCAAAATATTGTTTTTCAAGGTATTGATTTATTACACAAGTTGGTTTATAGCAGTTATGAAATGTAGCATTGGTGCATTGCTGTACGGAGTTGTCAAGGTATCTAACAAAGGATATCAGTGATTATATAGGTCCTGAGAAAAGAATTGAGAGGCAAAAATACGTATATGCATACATACATACACACACAAATACAGTAAAGTAATGCACTCATTTGAGTGGTATTAGAAATGTGCACGAGGGCCAGCTGGGTGGCACAGTTGGTTAAAAGCGCGAGCTCTGAGCAAAAGGGCCACCAGTTCGATTCCCACATGGGCCAGTGAGCTGAGCTGCCAAAGGGCAGCTGGATGGCTCAGATGGTGAGATCGCATGCTTTTAACAACAAGGTTGCCAGTTCGACTCCTGCATGGGATGGTGGGCTGCGCACCCCCCGCAACTAGACTGAAAGTGGCGACTGGACTTGGAGCTGAGTTTGCGCCCTCTACAACTGAGATTGAAGTACAACAACTTGACTTGGAGCTGATGGGTCCTGGAAAAACACATGTTCCCCTTCCCCAATTCCCTAATAATAAAAAAGTTGGCGGGGAGAAACGTGCACAAGAATTTCTAGGCTTTAACATGGAACTTGTTCCTCCATTTCAGGACCGGAAATTAACCAAAGCTGAGCAGCAAAGATTCAAGGAAGAAGCAGAGATGTTAAAGGGTCTCCAACATCCCAATATAGTTCGATTTTATGATTCCTGGGAGTCTATATTAAAAGGAAAGAAATGTATTGTATTGGTGACTGAACTTATGACATCAGGAACATTAAAGACGTAAGTTGATCCTGATAGTGCTAATGGAGTTTTATGTGGAAGTAATTTTCAGGATTCATAAAAGTTGCTTGTAATATAACACTACTTTATTAAACAATTTATAGAATCTGAATCTAGTGAGTGTGAATTTAGGGCAGGTTAAAATATTAGGATGTTAATGAAGTTTATTAGAAAATACAATGTTGAGACATATTTGTGGGATATCATAGGATTTTAGAATTAGAAATCGTAGAGATATATAATGTCATTTTTTAAAAGATACTGAAAAGTTGAGTGTGTGGCCACGTTCACATATCTAGTGAGTAATAGTATGTAAGTATAATCTATTGTTTTGTTTCTGACTAATCACTTATTTGTGACTATTAAATGTGGGGTATACATATTTTTTGTTTCCTGGCATATTTGCACTAAAATTTTGCATAGTTAAACCCTCTGGTGACTCTATATCAGCAGTTATTAGGAAGTAGAGGAGGACTTTCTTTTTAAAATTGTGCTGCCATACCACAAAGGGCCACTCTGATTGGAGTTATTCTTGTTTTGAATTCAAAATGCTAAACTTGGTAGGATGTCTTCTCTAAGAATGAGGCCTTAGATTTAAATTTTTCTTGCCATAACAGACAATGAAAAACAACTCAGTTATGGCAATTGTAGTACAGCACATACAACATTTGCTAGCTTCAATGATTTACCCTGATATTGCTCATACCATAAGCTAGGTATGTTTGTTTACATGTGGTCTTTTGTTTCTCTGTGTAGGTACTTAAAACGATTTAAAGTCATGAAACCAAAGGTCTTAAGGAGCTGGTGCAGGCAAATTTTAAAGGGATTGCAGTTCTTGCACACTAGGACTCCTCCTATTATTCACCGTGATCTGAAGTGTGACAATATTTTCATCACGGGACCCACTGGATCTGTGAAGATTGGTGATCTAGGACTAGCCACTTTAATGCGCACATCATTTGCTAAGAGTGTCATTGGTGATTAACATTTTATATTTTATTGGTTGGGTAAAGAGAGCTGTTAATTGTATATGTCTAGTACAGGGAGCAGCAAACTACAGCCTGTGGGCCAAATCTGGCCCTGCTACCTACTTTTGTACATAAAGCTTTATTGGAACAGAGCTATACCTGCTTGTTTATGTACTGTCTATGGCTGCTTTTGTACTACTACAGTAGCAGAGTTGTATAATTGTGACAGAGACCATAAAGACTGCAAAGCCTGAAATATTTACCATTTCACCGTTTACAGAGAAGTTTGCTGACCCCTGGCTTAGAATGTGAATTTGCTTTGAACTATCTATTATATATTGACTTATTTTGGAGACACCCTAGTGTAGTTCTTTTGTGGGATATATTTAAGATTATAGAAAGGTTCTGAGTATTTAAGAAAGAGAATTTACTAATTTAAGAAAAATTTTGAATAAGAAGGATGGAAGTAAAAACAAATTTTAGTGATGATTACTTAATCTTGAACATTACAGATTATACTTTATCAGAATGGAAAGTTAAGGAAATTCTTTAAGTGCTTTATATAGATGTATAGCAAATACTCAACAAATTTTATATTTATAAATTTGCTTTTAGGGAGCAGATATTAACACAAATAATCCTATGGCAAAGGGAATTTTGTCTTTGTGGACACATTGTTCTTTTTAATAAAAGTGTGGTTGTGGTGTTATTTTGTAGGGACTCCAGAGTTTATGGCCCCAGAGATGTATGAAGAGCACTACGATGAATCTGTAGATGTGTATGCTTTTGGAATGTGTATGCTGGAAATGGCGACTTCGGAGTATCCTTATTCTGAGTGCCAGAATGCAGCTCAAATATACCGTAAAGTAACTAGTGTACGTATAACTTCATTATTTTTACTTCACAGATTTCCATATTTTATATTGAAGTTGGTTAAAGACAACTTATACAAAACTTAACCAAAATTATGTTTTACTAACAGTGCTAAATTTAACATAATTGTAAAGAAACATCTTTAGATTTATGCTATATACCTGTACTCTATTGGGGTCATATAAAATGCTTTGTATTAGGATCTTTTTATAACATACAGATATATCATCTATATTCATTTGTTTGTAAGGAATTTTTAAATATTTATTAGATGGATCTTATTTTATATTGCTGATTAATAAAGATTGCCTAAATGATTTTGAAGATTCCTTTTAGTTCTAAAAGCCTGATTATTAAAGGACATTCAAAATATACTTAAATAGATAAAAAGATTTGATTTCCTGCTATGAGTAATTTTTTGTTTAGAAATTGTAAAGGAATGCATAGATGAATAAGAAGTGTTTGCTGCCCACATAGAGCTTACATTTTTAGTAGGACAATAATATAAATTCTCAAAAAACTATAAAAATATGAGGATGGGAATATAGTAAGGGAGGGATGTAAGGGAGATGGAAACAAAGTGTTAGGATTGTTTAAAAGAGGTTTACTTCATATCCAATTGAGTGGTTCAAGATAGGCTACAAAAGGAATTGTTAGAGTGTTTCAGATAACTAATGCTAATAGGTACTGTTTTTAAATGTATGCTGTATGCCATACGCTTTCATCTTTATATCCATACAAGATGGTGCTATCTTCAATTTACAAATGATGAGACTGAGAATCAGGGGTTGTGACTTAGCCAAGTTCACACAGCAACTAATGGTAGATTTTGACCCCAAATCTGATTCCAGAGGTTTGTGTAGGGAGACAATAAGAAATAAGGCCAATGTCCAGAATGTGGGACATTCTATAGGAAAAATGACCCAGTTTCTCCAACAAATTAATTTGATTGTTCATTACTTATAGCCATTATAGTAGACTTTGAAATAATATTGATTTGGAATGTTTATGATAGAGAAGCCCTTCTTAGGAATTTTCAAGTGTTTTTTAATAACATTGATTTTTTTTCTGATCCCCTAAAATACTTGTTTGCTATGTTTTGCTAATCGGGGTTATATGGTATGTACAGTTTGGGATCCTATTTTTTCCCCACTTAATATTACAGTATGAGAATTCTCCAGGTTATTAGTTACTTTGACAACATTTTAAATTTCTACATAATATTACCATATGTATTAAATAATTTATAATTTTTGCGCTGTTGATTTAGATTATTTAACTTTTCACTATTTCTAGAGCTATGACAAAATCCTTGTCAAAAAAATTGTTACACTTACACAGTATGTATATATTTATTTAGTTTAAAACTTGATGATGGTTTAGTGGTAAAAATCGTTATTTTCATAAGTGGGCTTTCAATTCTTAATTTGTAGCTCTTTTTTTGGTAATTTCTCCCAGGGCATAAAACCAGCCAGTTTCAATAAAGTCTCTGATCCTGAAGTAAAAGAAATCATTGAAGGATGTATTCGTCAGAACAAATCTGAAAGGTGGGTGCTAATGTAGTGAAATAACATAACTGATGGATGCATTTTTCTGTTACCTTGAACTGGGTCATTTTCTGACTTTGGAATCATGCTGGGTACGACTTGAGTAGAAGCCAAACCATACTGTCTGGAGTGAGGTGTATCATTGCATCTTGTTTGCCATTTTAGACTTTAATATCACATGCTGAATTTTCCTTGAACCAACATTTGGGTTGTGTTTGTCTGGGTGTGACGTGACAAGCTTTCATCACCTTGAGGCATCATTTTAACAGTTAGTGGGCCCCCTCCCTTTAGGCTAACTTGCTTCTAGCAGTTGATAGTAGAGAGCTTCTGCAATGTCACCTTCAGGTAAGTACTTAAAATTTTTTTTAATGATAGTTTAAAAAAATTTAGCTATCAGCTCACCAGATGTTTTTTATTTGACCATATGTCCTTTTATTATGATAATGGTAAAGCCGATAGGGATATTTTTGTTCAAGAAATAGTATTCTAGATTTATGTATATTACAATTGGTGTTTTTCTCACGGATAACTCTCTTTAGTTTTAGCTTATATTTCCCTTTAATTTGAACTTTGGACAGTTGCTGACTTATTTTGAAAAGTTAGTCATTTGATTTTTACCTCCTTATTGATTATGATTAATAAAGGTGATAGGTCCTTTATAGGAATTATTTCTACCATCATTTTGTTGATTGTCCTCTAGTTTTTTTTAAGATTTTATTGGGGAATTGGAGGAGGGAACAGCGTTAGGGAATCGGGGAAGGGGAACAGACAAGTTGCTGTCCTTTTGTTCTTCAGTCTAGTTGTGGAGGATGTCACTTCACTGGCCCATGTTGGTATTATCATTG